AAAAGAATTAAATTAGATAGAGTCAAGTTTTGACTATTAGGGGAAAATATTATGATATAGGATATAGTTAAATAAAGAAGGGATAATGATAAATAATTTATATATAAGGAAACTGGATGTAAATTGCAAACAATTTTGCAATTTTGCAAAATTTTGAAAAGGAGGATTGGAAAATTTTGTTACTAAATATTATGGATGTTTAGCTAGAATAGGATATAAGGACTTAGTACTATTGGAGGATTTTAGAAATAGTAAATGAAATTCTAGTATGTGGTTATGTATTAAATTTTGGTATATTTTATGATGGACATCTAAACAATAATAGTCAAATGAAACTGGAGGTATGATGATGGTAACATATATAAACATTGGAGTTAAAGTATTTGAGTTAATATGAACTATACTTGATGACGGTGGAAGAGATGCATGAAAGCTTTTTGTAACCAACTGAAACACTTTCTACAGTATGTAAAGAAAGAAGATTTTATGTTTCTTTTGAAAATAAAAAATAAAAAATTATTTTAAAAAAATGTGTGTGTATGTGTGCAAGCATGCATACATGCATGTCAGTGGTGGCTTCCGGATTCCATTCCAACCAGTACGGTTGGAACTGCCCCAGCATCACCCACATGCACGCATGTGGTGCGTGCATGCATTGTAGCTGGAAATGATGCTTCTGCAAGCCTCCACAACTCTCCAGCTGCTCAGCAGAGTATCGCGCAGGCGCTGTACGTGCCATGCACATGCGCGGAATCACCAACAACTTTAAAACACAGTAAGGAGTTCGGGCAGGCAGGTGGGCCCTCCAGAGCACCGGAACGGAATGGTATCCGGTGCTCCGGACTGGCTCTGGTGCACCCGTACCGGGGCGTACCGCCTGCAACCCACCACTGGTGCATGTACATGTGCACACCATGTAATACAAAGTACATAGAAGAGAATCATTACTAGATAGCATTGTCAGGTCTTACCACCCTTATTCAGAAAACAATTTCTAGCAGAGTAGACTCTAAGGCTGTGTCAATACAAATTGTAACTTCTTCTTGCCATAGGAGGATTATATCTCTATTTACTTAGACCTAAGTAAAATGTGACATAAAATGAGGAATAACAGATGAGAGAGTGCAACTAATTGGTTATTCCCTTGCCGCCTCAGAACAGTAGAAATGGCAGCAATGCCATTGAATGAATTTCTCCTAACCAAGACTGATCAGGTATAAAGAACAGAGAAGAGCATCGCAAGTGTTGTATACACTGCACCTCACCATACTATCCTTCCTTCTTAAATCACATCTTTTGCATCTTCACTCTTCATGGCAGTAGCAGAGTAATCCATGCAATAGTTAGAGATTTGGAACTTTTGTCTTGAGTCAGTGGTCGTCGCTATCCATTTATTTACCAGACAACTTTATTTATCTCTTGGGTTTCATTCAGCTATACATATCTTTGCAAACTATTCTCCTTCGGTACCTCATTAATATAGTTTTGTATTATTATAATGATTGTAAATTTTCATGTGATGGAATTATTAATTAGAATAATAAGCCTCCTGTGTGCCTTTCTAAAAGTCACACTATTACTTTACAAATAATTCAATGTGCGCAGAATATAAAAGTGCATAATTAATGAAGAAAGCAATCTCTCTAAGGACTTAGAGCCTGTTTTGGGGCCACTAATCTTACAAAAAAAGTGATGCCTGAAACTATTTTTCTTAATGCAGTGTTGCCAAATGCAAAAAAAACAACCAAAACCATCGAACAGAATGCCATCAACATCAGTAAAGTTGAACAACTTCCTCTTTCAAATATTAAAGCAAAAAAAAAAAGACAAGAGTCAGCCAAAATTATTGAGATTTACAACTTTAGGAAATTTTGAATCAATAAAATCAATCCGCAAAACAGAGTGAAAAGTGATCAGATTTACACATGATGTCAAGCCATTGCTTGCTTAATCATGATTTGTTCAATAAACAATTGATGGGTTGATGGGCTCACAAAAACACAAAGCTATAAGCCAATGTATAAGCTTATAGACTATAAAGAGCCCTAGTGGCACAATGGTCAAACTACAATATTTCAGGAAACTCTGCCCACAGTCTGGAGTTCAATCCTGAAGTTAACTCAACCTTCAATCCTTCCAAGTTTGGTAAAAAGATAACTCAGATTGTTGAAAGCAAAATGCTGATGTTATAAACCAAAAAGAGCTGTAAAGCACTAGTGGGCAGTATAAAAGCCTAAATAATATTGCTAATGTACCAACTATAGTAGATTTGCCATGCTATTTTAAACCAAAGCAGAATGGCTTAGAGCAGGGCTGTCAAATTTCCAGCCTGCAGGCTGGATACATCATGTGTTGGCCACGCCTACACCTAGTTTAACAAAGGGACCTGGTAATGACATTCAGTGGTGTTAGAGCACAACTAATGGTTTCTTGTACCGAATTAATCATTCTCTGTAGTGCCTCCTTGTTGAACCAGCGAACCATACTGTTATACAGTATGTAAGGATGTTTTCTATCAGTCTACGATAGAAAGTGGTCATAAGCCGTTGTTCCACCTGATTTTTCCGCAGGACTTTAAAGAAATGAAGTCTCTGTTGACCCTTACTAACCACCAGGGTTGTTTTTCCAGGTGAGATCTTGACTAATAAGCACGCCCAAGAATTTAAAAGAGGAAACCCTCTCCACACAGCTCCCCCTTGATATACAGTGGAGCAGGTCCAGCACCATCTCCTTTGTCTTGCTACTGTTTAAATGTAGGTTGTTTTTTGAACACCATGTGGATAGCTTCTGGACTTCTTCTCTGTATGCTGATTTGTCCCCTTACAAGCCCTTATCATTTGCCAGAATGTTTGATATGAGTTGTAATTCAAAATTCCTAGCCCAAACCATGTTGCTTTTTCTTGATCAAATGCTGATTGATCTCTTCAAATGAATGCTGTATTTATGCTGATTTTCAATAACAAGACAGTAAAATGGAGAACCTCAAATAAATTGTGAATTTGTGTTGATTTGCAATAAAGAGACAGTAAAATGGAGCAAATAAATCACCTACAATGATACATTTCTTATGTGTAAGAATTGACAAAGAAGGTTCCTCTGTCCATCATTTGGCATGTTTCTTTGGTGTCAGGACAATTCAGCGGTCTTAACTACAACTGATTAAGGGGAAATAGAGTTATTTTTAATGCAATAGTGTCCCCAATGAACTATAACTGTTGCTTTAAAAAAAGAACAAATAATGGAATAATTTTGTATTAATTCTTTTACTGTTGTCTTACATCAGGTCCAGCATGGAGAGTTTTGATATAATCCATTCTAATATTTCTAGCTATGATGAACATTTTTAAAACAAATGTTCTTAGTAAATATCGGTATGACCAATTGGACGTCTTATACATTTAAAATATAGAAAATACCACATCAACTCCATTTGCAAAGCAGAAGATAAATACTATTTTACAACAGTTTTAAAACAGTTGCCTACAAAACTGTTGATACAGTATCAGATAACCTTTTTAATGTACAGTATGTATACACATACATCCATAACAATTCCATTTAAAGTTTTCATCAAATATCAGGTTAAAACTGATGCCCCAATATAACTTTTTCCAGTAAAACTTTTTTTGGCAAAAAAAAAAATGTTCATTCAATCAATGAAGAACTTAGACGTTTGTCTAACAATGCAAATTCTTCTAGCTGAAGATCACAAATCTGGATTTTCTTCTGTTGGAACAACTTCTAAGATTATTTGCAATGTTGATGTCATGTTGTCTGTGGAAGAACAATATATGAGAGTCTGTTCATGTTTACTCAGATGTAAGTTCAAATAGCTTTTTTTAAAGAACATTTGGAATAGGACTATAGACAGAAAAAGAGATAATAGAGGCATAGAATTCAAATGAAGCAACTGACAGTTTGAGTCAAATTCAAAATATGTGTTGCATAAAATGTATATAAAATGAGTCTGGTAATTCATTTTTTTTTTAGAATTTGAATCTTATTAAACTTTTTAAGAAGATAGCCTTTACAAAGTAATAGAAAAATAAATTAAAAAATAATCTGGCAAATGCTTACTCTCAACAGTACATTAGATATATTGCAATTATCATTACCTGCTCCTATTAGATTTATTTCATATATAGGGACAGTTGGTTTCTCTCATTCTAAATTACCACATAGAATTGTTCTTAGAATAAAAAATAGTATTGTTCCTACATACTATTTGGCATTCCTTCCAGGAAAAGTAAGATGTAAATGTAAATAAATAATAAATAGATAGATAGATAGATAGATAGATAGATAGATAGATAGATAGATAGATAGATAGATAGATAGATAGATAGATAAATAAACTGTTATTGAAATTTAGGGCAAAATGTCATACTCTACCTGTCTAATAGCTCCCTTATGTTCCTTAAAATCAGATTTTTACATCCATGCAGTAAAAAAACCAATGCAAAAAACCATTAAAGCATGCCAAGACATTTCAATATATTTTGGTTCCATCGTGTTCATTTGGTTTTAAAGTTTAAATAAATTGATTTATATTGCAATTTTGCATCTGTGAATGTCCCACTCAAATAGTTCATATGTTCTCTTCCCTACTTAAACCATTTAATTATTCCTGAAAACTATTTTTAGAAAAATGAGGAAACCTTTTTGACCAAATTAAGTTAGCATACAGAAGGGATTGATGACTATCCATATTTAAGTAATATGTCTTAAGATCAAAACCACTGATGCCTTAAGAAGGAACAAAGGTCTATGGTTCCTTCATATAGGATTATTTATGTATATGAAAAAAATACATTGTTGTCTCCTTAACAAAATAATTGCTATTAGATTGCCAAAGATGATGTCCATGAGATGGAAGCTTAGCAATCTAATTACAAACTATTTTGTATACAGAATTTAAACTGGGTTTTCAGAGTCTATGTGCTTCATTTATGGTATTTATATTTTCTCCTGCCAGGAAACAATAATAGTCGCAGCGCTAAAAAAAAAATCACTGCATTGTTACCAAGAGCATAAATCTCAAACGTTTTATACTTTTTACTTAAATGTAATGGTTCAACAGTGGCATCCTGTGGCCAAACTGATTTATGAAACTGCAACTCAGTAGCTTGTGAAATTGTAACTACCTGATGAAATAATAAAATACAAAGACTCTTCTGAGGCAGAGAGAAATGACTACAGAATTCTACAGACATAAGGTAAGATACGTAACAGTGATTTCCATCACACGTTTTGTTTTATATTTCTTACGTTTATATCAATTCTTTGAAGAAAACAATACTTGTGAAGACATACACAGTAAGTAGATAAATAAAGCTACGAAAATATTTTGACTATCATACAGTGATTTATTTATTGTAGGTATTGAAAATATTAAAAATATGCAACTTTATATTATATATGTATGTATGTATGTGTATGTATGTATGTATGTATGTACGTACGTATGTATGTATGTATATACTGGTCTTGTTGTATTCAGGTCTTTTCCCATGTAAGTTTGAAATTGTCTTGACAACGTTTCGGCGAGGTCTCACTCACTATCCTCAGGCTGGTGTTCTTTGCTTAAAGCGTGGCCGGAGCTGCCGTCTTTCTATAAATCTTGGTGGGGGTTTATGGAGTGCTGGCATTGTTTCAGTAAGTGGATTGATTGGATGTGTGGCTGTATCATGATTGGTAGATTGGTGCTGATTGGTGCTGGCTATGGGTCCGTAGTTGTTTTGTGTTGTAACAGCCTGGGTGGTGGGTGGGGCTCGTTTGTTGACCAGGGCTGGTTTCCTGATGTCTGGTAGGCAGGAGGTATTGTCATGTTTATTCATGGTGTGGGGGTGTTTCTCTATTTCGATAACTTCCATA